AGCTAATGTGTCCTTCCATCTTTATTATTATTATTATTATTATTATTATTATTATTATTTTTAACCCTTTGGCTTTACATGCGACCTAACTTGGCTCTCGCCTCCAGGTGCGTGCTTACCGCGGGTTTTGGTGGGTGCTGGGCTTCCGGCAGCCGCAGGAGACAGCCCTGGTCAGCCCCCCCGAGGTTTCCAGTCCTGGACGCCAGAGCCTCGCCGGCCGCAAGCGCCTGCGCAGGGTGACCCGCCTGCTGCTGTCCATCCTGCCCCGCTGGGTGCAGGGCGGCCTGGGCTACCCGGTGTCCAGCAGCATTGGGCGATCCCTCTCCCCAGGTATGGTAGCTGGAGGGCTGGTGGATATGTCTTCCCCTGGGCCCTCACTAAGACAGGGGACCAGACGGTGTTTGCCTTCAGCCATTTTCTGAAGCGAGCTTCATGAGCGTTTTATTTTGCAGCTTTGTTTGTCCTAGTGCAACATTATAGCACACTGAATCAAAGCCTGCTTTAATTCAGATGTGAGTTGACACACCTTCTGAATCATTTAAACCTGTCTGTGGATTTCAAAAGCCACTTAGAGTTGTTACTGCTGGCTCTGGGAAAATGGAGAGAATCACTTTAGTGTTTAAAAGATGAATTTCTTTAATGGTTGTCTTGAAAATTATGCTCATCAGCAGCTCTACTTGGGATAGTGAAGTTGAGGCTAATTGCTGCCCACAGGTGTAAAAGCCAAAGTTTACTAAGCCAAACACTCCAAAGGCTGAAAAATCCTCAATGACTGTATAGTACCAGAAAACCTTGGAGCATAATTGACATCAAAATGATGGAAAATGATGTGCCAGATGTTGCAGTTCATGACCTGGTATAAAGCAGGGCCAAAAACAAGGTTTGTGTAGGCTGGAAATGCTCATCTTTAGATACTGTTCTATTCATGTGGGTGCAGCAGCACATCTTTAAAAAACAAAACAAAATGACCTTGTTTCCCAACAGAAATCAGAGTCTCTCCTACTAAACCTTGTGGAAAGGGCAGCAAGAGGAAGCAGGATGAGTTGGACGACGATGAGGAGGAAGAAGAGCATCAGACCTGGGTGGAGGCACTCACTCAGGAGCTCGCTGATGACGATGCCCCTGAGGAGGATCCTGACTATGAGGTTGGTGCTGTCTACTCTAGTCTCTTCAGTTTAACACTAATGTAACTCAAGGTTGTTTGGCAATGCACAAGGATGGTCAGGATGTCTTATTTTTTTGATCTGAGATGAAAGCTCTCAGGATTTACCAGAGTGCCTGACTTCATTTTAAAGTATACATCAGTATTCTGTTACATTAACATGTTTCTAGTGAACATTTTATTGTTTGCTCTTTCATCTTTCTTTTACTCTGCCAACTGCAATAATGCAAAACTGTTTAACTTTAAAAGCCTTAAACATGTTGTTGGATGAGACGTTCTCTTAATTTTGACCATTTCTCAGCCCAGTACTGTAGAGACGGAGAGTGAAGAGTACCGCTCGCACAACGACACAGAAAGTGACATTGAGGTTCAGGAGAAAGGCGTGATCATTATTGAAGATGTGAAAACGGTAAGATCCATGGAGAAAGTGTGGCTAATGTGTCGATTAGAATGATGCCACTAACTTGCCTTCTGTGTTTATAGGACGTTGAGCTCCCCACTCCATCTGAAGTTACTTACCCTGCTGTTTAATGTGTCATATTTACAATGATGTGCTTTTGTATGTTTATATATTAATTCAATAAAACATTGTTGTCCTTTGCCTTGACATTGCTGTGGCCTCCCACTAGATGGCAGTAACAATATTGGTATTGAACAACTGAGCTGAAACAAAGGTTGGAAGTGACTTCTGTAAAATGCATCAATACGTTGTGCTTAAGGTCAAAATGCATCTGGTAACAGTGACATTGCGTTAATTTAAAACTATTTGGTGCTGCTCAGGTGTCAACCTGGTTAGGTTGCTCTAAAATCTTTACAGCTTCAACCAACATGATTACAGCTTCATGTACCAGGTGGAAGTCATCTGAAAGTAGTTTAATAATTGCTAATTGTGCAATTTAAGTGTCAGGAGTTCAGGCTTTGTGTGGTGATGCTGCATATGATCACTGCCACAAGTAGTCAAAGACTTGAATCTAAACATGAATCTCTTAATTCAGCAATGCACACAGCCTCATAAAGCAACTCTAAAGTGAAATCTCAATCAGGTTTTTGGTGAACTTGCTTTAAACTACTGTATATTTGACTTGAGTGCAAGCGGCTGATTTACTGAACCACTGGGGAGTGTAATGCTCATACTTCAGGCTTAAGCAATTTGTTTTCGTAGTCATATTTCTCCTCTGCTCTCTTGCTGTTCTGTGCAGACGGGTCATGTGACAGAGTCAAAGCAGATGGCCTCCGAAAGAAGCAATGTCAGCTAAGAGCTGATGGGGTGTAACATGAGCACAGGAGTTTCTTAGAAGACCGTCTCTTATGTACACAAATCTTCTCAGGCCTCATTCACATTTGTGCAGTACTGTCATATTCTTGGTCTGATGACCTGCCTCCCAAGAAAATTACACTAAAATGGAGTAATTTGTTTTTAAAAATATTTACCTTTTCATTAATCTAAATGTTTGACTGACAGGGACAGCAATTTTTATTATATTTTTTTTATTTTTTCCCCCGCATTCAGTATTTGACAAAGCTCATCTATCTGTGCAGCACTTTGGTTAAAAAGGTTCCTCCCAAAAGGATGAAGTTAAGCCTTTACGATGGATCCTATCATGTATATTGTTGTACATTATAAAGTTTCCTATAACACTACAATAAACATATTTTCAAGTGTTGTCAGACTTTCCTTTGGTGCCACCTTCAGGCCAAACTCTAGCTTTTTAGTCCTACCCAAAACAATTATCTATTTTTTTTTTTTTGTCTTCCAGTAAACAAGAATCCACTGAACTGTCTGAAGTCTGTTTGTGTTGCCACTTCACATGTGGGGGGGTGGGGGGATGTACCGGTGCTATTTCTGACTCTTAAGCATGTGATTTTCAGTTGTTTGACCTGAGGTCATCCAAGCAGAAAATGAGTATTACCACAGAGCTCACCATCCCACTGCCTCTCTGCTGCAGGTCAGGCGGAAGCTGCTGTCATGTGGCTCTCTTATGATTGGCTTCAGCAGAGGACGTTGAGTGTAATTTCTCTGCTTCCCACGCAGTCGTACCTCTTCAGTCCATCTGCACACTTAGTCTCCCTGTTCACTGCTGAGGGTGAGCTGTATTTATGGGAGTAGGTGGCAGGTTACTGTGGAGAGCCCCACAAGCCTCTTGAAAATGACTGAACCAGTACTCGTCCAGCAATCAGCACCCGCTCTCCCACGCTTATAGATGAGCTGCTGCTGCTGGCTCAATGCTCGTTGATGGTAGAGCAGAACAGATCATGGGTAGAGATAAGCTAATTTTGGCCTTTTTTTGTTTCCTCTTGCATCAATTTCTTCTGTGCGCAAGTTTTTTTCTATTTATCTCTTAGATGCAAATTGTACATTTCATGATGAGCGTGAGACAGGCTGAATAACATTGTGGTGAGCTGTTATTGTTGTCAAGGAAGTTCAAAATGGGGATTTTATACATAAAGCTCAGTTCAGTAATCATGAGGCGTTACCACTCTGTGAAAACACTTAACACATAATGTGTCTGCGGCTCTGGAGGAGCCTTGGGTGTCTAAAGTCTAATGAAAAGACACTGCTGAGTTGCATTATGGGAAGTGAAGGGTCCTGTGTCGTCGGAGTCAGGCCTATACTAGGGACTAAAGGGACATCTCGGCCTCGGCTGCATTTCTGTGTGAATTTGATTTGTCTTTTTTATTCTTGTGAGTCGGCCCCCAAATGTACGCATTGCCTTTAAGTGCAATAAATAACCATTTTAAGAACTCTTTGGTAGTCTCAAAATGAGTGTTTGTAGTATGAGTATTCTTAAAATATGATGATGACCTTTATTCAATCAGGTCCCACTGAAATGATTCAAGGGAGACCTGACTACCTATAAAAAAAAAACTATAAGATACAGCAGAGCATAATAATGCTTCCAGTAAGACAGCCCTTTGATATATGATTCTTTCTGAATCTTACACATTTTGTTTAACCTTCAGAGAGGTGCTGTGTTAATTTATTGAGAATTTCTCTTGTAGCATCAAGGAAACATCGCGTTTGTTATTCTGCCTGTGCCCGTGTTAGTCATAGTATGTTGTTATGACTTGTTAGAAGTATTATTTATGTCATACTTTTAAGCTGAATTGTTGCCATGTCTGTTGCAACCACTGCTAAATTATATTATGTGTCAAAGGGGAAAGTATTGGGTATATGGGTTTCATTAAACTGTTTGTTTACTGAGTGGCTATTGTAATGTATGGTGTTTGGTATGGTTTCTGTGTTTATTTGTCACTCTGCGTGTTGGTTGTGATTCAGACGCCTTCAGACTTCAGACGCCGCAGTTTTAAAGAAGACAAAACCCGGTAAAGATGGGAAATGATTCAATTGTTGACACCGAGATCCAGCCACTTTCAATTAATTCCTGAAAACACTTGAAGTTGTTTTGACAGTGAACTTTGTGACTTCCTTTTTTCTTTTCCTCTCAGATGTTTTTCACCTCCTGACGCTCAGGTGCAAAGGCAGCTGCCACCTTACTGAAGCTGGAGAGCGAATGCTGGTATGAATTAAATGCTTGATGTGTGTGTGTGTGTGTGTGTGTGTTACTGTGTTTGTGGGCAGGGCAGCAGCACTGAGAGCTGGATACAGAACAGGAACTGATGGTCTCTGGGGGGTTCTCATGGCTGTCTGAACGTTTGAAGGGTAGACTGCTCAGCGGAGGCAGCGATAGAGAGCATCGACCTCTATCTCTGGTGTTTGTAGCCAGCTGGAGACCGCTTTTAAACCAGAAGCTCTGTCTTTGCCTTTCAACTGCAAGGTGAAAACACGGTGTCTGGAAGGGGCTATAAATTTCAGGCACAGTCCCAGGTGTGCTATAGAACAAAGGCTGCCCTGCCTCATGCTGTGAATGCAGTGGTGGTCTCGTTGTTCTGTAATGGATGGCGGCATGCAGAGTGATTGGTCGAGGTGATCAGTTTAGATGCGGGGTGGTTATGTTGCAGGCAGCAGGCGCTTTCATATTATGTCCCAGGCTTTTTTTTTCTCCTGTATTCCATTTTACCTGATTCATGTGAGCAACTCTAGTGTTGACGCAGCACAGATTGTTATAAAACCTCTCTGACACACACACACACACACTGACACGATGTCAGCCAAATCCTAGTTGTGGCTGCGGTGTGTTGAGCCCTCTGGGGACGCGCTCTGGGTGAGGCTCAAAACCAAAACAGCCACACTCACACAACTAGGACTTGGTGACATCGGCCTTATTGATCACCTTGCGAATGAATGCGGCCAGGTGCGCGGCCTGCTCCCCGGGCCCCCAGTCTGACCTGCAGGCTATTATCTGCTGCATTACAATGTGACTCTGTAATGTCAGCCAACAAACGCGTTTAGACTCCCTCCCCTGCCTCTTACTCTTCCCATGTATTCCCCTTTACTGCCTCTCTGCAACCCCCTCAACACAGTCATGCAGCAAGTTTCTCTTCACCTCCAGCCTAATGACCAGCTGTCCCCGTAGATGTCAAGAGCATCCATCATCTCCAGAGAAGTGGAGCAGGAAAAGAGGCATGAAAAATGAGGCAGACAGGTGCAGCCTTCAGTTAGTCATAGACTGTGAGGCATCTCAGAAAGTTTGAGAGTAAAGGAAACCTGCACAGAAGTCTGTAATCCATGTTCATCTAAGAGCCGTGGAGTGAGCGGAGGACCAACTGCTGGCAAATGAGCGCTGTCTCTCAAAATCAAGTCAAGTTCTCACAACAAGACAGAATCGAGTAAATTTGTTCTAGAGATCGTTTGACGTGGCAGCGATTTTCATTTCCTTAATGTTGGTTTTATCCCCTCAAATAGTTTAACATGATAATCTGATGCCCTGAACTATCACAGGCCAGCTTATCCTCAGAGTCTCCCTGAGCTGCCGGGCAGCATCACCTCAGATTCTCATCTGGATGAGTGTATTTTACGTCTCACCGGGCTACTTGATCAATCCAGCAGGATTTAAAGGCTTTGCTGCTACCTGCGACTGTGATTGTCCTTGTCTGTCCCAAGATCGCTAACACCTCTCACTCACGGCAAACTGCGCAGGGCCCTCCGAAGTGTTTGGAGTCAGCCCCTGCTGATGCCAGTAAGCAAATCCATTCACACATTTATGATACTATTCTGAGACACGGCCCAGAGACCAGCGAGATATGGAGGACCCAAGGCATGCAGGCAAACAGAGAGAGGTGGTGAGAGTGCTCTGTATGTGACAGACATCTTGTAAATCTTTATTTACAATCAGGAGCTGCAGTGCAGATGGATTCCTCAAATGATTTCTCTGACCTTTGGCTCTATTTTATTGAACTTGTTCACACCTGCTGGAGGAAATCTCTCTCTCTCTGATCACAACAAGCCAACCTGGATGTGACAGAATAGGAGAGGTCAAATGTCAAACATGTAGTTCTCAAGGTACTTGTGTGTTTTTGAATGCACCGTTTGCAAGCTGCAATCATTTGGCACATTGTTGCCCTCTGGTGGTGTTGTGGAAGATTTGTTCAAATGAGCCATCGAGGAGGTTGGGTAATGTTTTAGTGAAGTGTGATCGTGCTGCTGCGCGGTTCCACACCTCCGAATCACCACTCGCATTTAGTCTGAATTGTTAGTCATATGATATG